CTTGGCGAGCATATTGTCGCGGAGCTCCGTGACCGCCCCCTTGACGTTCGCCGGGCGAACCGCCTCCACCGCTGCGGCCAGCGAGGCCCGAGCGGCGTCCCGGCGGACCGGCAGATCGGGCCGTGATGGCCCGGCGGTCACCACCGCAATGTCGGAGACCTCATCGACGGGCGGCGGGGCCGCCAGCAGGGCCTCCAAGGTGAGGGGCGAGATCCCCGCCTCGACCAGCCGGTCGGTGTTGGCCGTCAGCTCGGCGATGTTGCGGACCCCTGCAAGGGCAAGAGCCGGCAGGGCCTCGGACTGTCCCGCCCGCTCGGCGAGGGCCACCAACTCGGCGAAGGAGTCGAGCCATAACCCTTAGGGACGGGGCAGGGGCCGCAACGAAGCACAACAGACGCGATGGCAGACCTCCTTTTTCCAGCCGCTGACCAGACGACACAGTAACTCGCAAAATCGGGCGAGGGCGCGAGCCCAGCCCAGGCGGCGAGGTAAAAAAATCTGACTCCACATGGCCCAGGCGAGGACGTAGATGACGGCCCGGGCGAAATAGCACCACCTCCCTAGTCGGAGAACCGCTGCCCTGGCGACGGCGGCGCGCAGCGGGAGCACTCGTGATGCTCATGCGGGCGGCCGAGCGTTCACCGGTCGAAGGCAGCGGGCGCCGTCGGGGCAAGCCGTCCCATCCCGGCGATAACTGCCCGGGCATTTCACAAAGCACCAGCTGAACCAGGAGGCGGTGCCCGCCGGAGGATCGCGGGGGAGCCTGCCGCCACGTGCCGTGGGCGGCAAGGACCTGACGATGACCCCGGCCGAGACGCACTGCGGCGGGACGTCCGCCCCAGCCGCAATCTCTGCTTCCAGGCGTTCCGCATCCGCCCAAGTGTCGGCGACCCAGTCCCGGACGGAGTGGGGGATTTCGGAGCCCCGGAGATCGGCGCCTGGCTGGTGTAGCGGGAAGCGGAAGGCATCCCAGGCGTTGGTCGGCTCATCCCGACGCCGCTGGCTCTGATTCCGTGTGCCGTACCCCGCCCGACCAGGGCGATCCACTGGGGGAAACGGCGACTTCGGTGGCGGGAAGATGCCCGACTGCCCGGGCGAGGGGCCCGTCGTGGAGCTGGTAATGGGGGTAGATGTCGAAGAGGCCGCCGGCAGAGCGGATGCCGAAGACGACGCTGGCCGGGAACTCGAGCGCGTAGGCGACGATGTCGGCAAAGTCCCGGAACCAGGCGCTGGGGTGGTCACCTCAGGCGCGCCCCGCGTCATGGCCGGCCGACGTTGAGCGGCTGGCGTTGGGGTGACCTCCAGCGCCGCCTGGGATCCAGCCGCCAAGCCGCCGAAGGGTGGCCTGGTCTCGGTGCCCACCAGGTGGGCGGGCGGCCCCTTGGGCTTGGCCTTCGCCAAGGCCGCCGCGTCATCGGCCCGGCCATCTGCTCCTGGCGAATAAACGCCTGGCGGCGCAAGTACTCCTCCGAGGGCCCCCGGCCAGCATCAGGGCCGGGTGCCGGCGCAAGTGCCGTTTCTTCTGGCGCCGGCGTCGGAGAGGGCTCGGCCGTGGCCTTGGCGACCACTGGCTCAGACGAAGACGACGCGGCCGATGAAGGTGCTGGAGCCGCCGCGATGGCCGCCTCCGCGGGCGGTGGCGACTGCTGGGGCTGCACCGGCGCCCGCTTGACCGGTGGCTTCTTCGGCTGCCCGGCGAGGAACGCGATGGGCCGGTCGGGGTAAGGCAGCGGCGGTGCCTTGCTCGCGACAAGGCCCGAATGGCAGCAGCCAACGCCGCCTGGGGGGTGTCGCCCACGAAGGACGAGAAGGCGATCTTGCCGTCGGTCTGGGACGCGACGTCGACCATGTCGAAGGCGGGCATTAGGACGTTGTGGACCGTCTGCACCCCGACGTCGGCCACGTCCACCACCACCGGAGGCGCGCCCACCAAAGGCGCCCCGGCGGGATCGGCGAGGAGCTCCTCCTCACCCTCGCTGGAAGAGGGCACGCCCATGACAGGCGGCGCAATATCCTCCTCACCTGTCGTCAGCTCGACCAAGGCCGGCTCGCCCGATGTGGGCGGCGCGGCCGTCTCCTCTGCCGGCAAGCCCGACGAGGGCTGCTCGGCGATGCTTCCCCCGCCCAAGGCGGGCGTCTCCACCACGGAAGTAGCCGTAGGCGCCGTCGAGGAGATAGGTGGCCCCACCAAGTCGAGGCCAGCAGCCGCCGCGAACGCGGCGAACTCCTCAGTGGCAGCGCCCGGCGAAGCACGGAATGCCATTTCCGAGGCGAGGCGAAGGGAAGGCGAGGAGAACAAGACGAAAAGCGGTCGAGCCGGCGATAGCTGCGCCGGTCGCCCGCTAGAGCTTGTACCTACGCACACGCGTGTGCTACACAACAAAAGCCCCTGCCTCTGCACGAACAGCCGGTGCAGCTGGCAAATCGACCGTCTCTGCCGGAGCCTTCTCTCAAAAGCCGGCATTGCGGTTTAGGGTTTAGGGTTTTGGGTTTAGGGTTTAGGGCTTGGGGTGCTGTAAGGCTAACAGACCGCAAGACCTACCTGTACTGCTCGACAAATTGTTCACTTGCAAGGGTTTCGAGCCTAGGCTCCACAGTACCCTAAGGCTCAAAATAGCCCAACAGCCTCATATAGTATGGTCTTTGGGCCCAAAAGCCTTAAAATTATGAGCCCTTAGAGCCTTAGGGATAGGGTTTAGGACTTGCGGCTGTTGCAGAAGACGGTCGACTGACCTAACGCCAACCTGGTGCGCCCCGTCGACTCTGATAGCTTTGCGTGACGGATGTAGGGAACTGCTTGAAGCTCTAGCATAGTGCATGCCCAAGCTATCGATGTTTCAGTAGGTCATGGTATAATCCAGTATGTTGTTCATTTTACCATACTCGGATACATTTGTAGTAATGCTTGGTCTTGACAAGCACGACACCACAGGCACACCGGCTGCAGAATGACAAAGTTGCAACGTCCTTTTCCTACCTCTTAAGCCCTAAGCCGTTGCCTAAACCCTAAACTCTGAACCCGAAACCCTAAAACCCTAAAACCCTAAACCCTTAAACTTAAACCCTCAACCCTCAAACCCTTAAACCCCTAAACCCTAAACCCTCAACCCTGAGACCCTCAAACCCTTAAACCCTCAACCCTCAAACCCTTATACCCTGAAACCTTGAGCCCTTAAACCCTTAAACCCAAACCCTTAAACCCTTAAACCCTTAAACCCTCAACCCTTAAACCCTTAAGCCCGTAAACCCTCAACCCCAACTCCGAGACCCTCAATTCCTAACCTTCTCAAACCCTAAGCCCTAAAGCAGTTTAGGTTTCAGGGTTTAGGGTTTAGGGGTTAGGGTTCAGGGTTTAGGGGTTAGGGTTTAGGGTTTAGGGGTTACGGTTTAAACCCCTAAAGCCTAAATTCTTAAAGCCCACGGGTTTAGTAAGGGGCCTGAGGGTTTGGAGTTCGGGGTTCGGGGGTCTACGGTTTGGCGAGTTTTGGAGGAAGAGCCTTCGATGCTTACCCTCTGAGACCCTCATTTCCTAAGCCCGACTTCCCCAAACCCCAACTCGCAAACCCTGAACCCAAATTGCACGTCCTTTAGATCCTGAAACCCTCGCTCTTAACCCCTAATTCCTGAACCTCAGGGTTTAGGGTTTGGGGCCTTGTTCCCTCATAAAATGCTAGATGATCGGAAGAACCCTTCCTGGAAAAGTCGAAGTAAACCCTAAACCCTAAAAGCCCTAAACCCTAAAGCCTTTTTGGATCCCTGACATCCCCCCCCCCAGTCGCCTCCTCGGCTTCTTCCTCGGAACCAGGTCCAAAAACCCCCACCGGGGCTCCAAAACCCCCCTTTTTTATCAAGGAAAGAGCTTCCTTTGCATTCTAACTAGGGATCTATAGGGGTTTTTGCAGCCTTTCCATGAAAGCACTGTAGGATGAATTAAACCAGTATAGGATGCAGTGGAGGAACAACTGCGACGAGTCAGGTAGAGCACAGACACGAGCCTATCTTCAAGCCCTAAAGCCTAAGCCCTAAACTCGCGGAAGCTTTGCAAGGCCGCTCAACATGGGCTTTCGGGCTCTAGGGCGTGAGGCTCCGGGACGGTTTAGGGCTTAGGATTTGGAGCTGCTGTGTACCAGGCCTGTTTCTTACCTCCTGGCAATCTGCCGGGGCCTCAGCAGAATCGGAGACCACTGGCGCCTGCGAATAGGCCTGGCCGCAGATCGGCGACGAGGAAGATTCTCATCGCCCTTTGCTTAATGGTAGCCCTAATCTCTACGCCGCAACCCTAACCGTTAATGGTCTGAGCGCTTAGGCTTAAACCCTAAGCCCTGTACCATAAATCATGAGTCTGCTTTTCATGTCTTCGCTAACAACACTCCCAAACTTTGCAGTCAACCGAGTCACCCGAGCGGCCCGAACATCAACCTGCTTGGGGTTCAGGATTTAGGGTTTTGAGATGTTTTTGGGGTTTACTGTAGGGCTCAGAGGGTAACTTAAGATCCCGGGCAGGTTGCAGTCGGGCGCCTTTGCATGTCGAGCTGGCTTGGACGCTTCTTTCGTCTTGTCCATGTCCTCATGAGGAATCATTTCGTAGGATACGGTAAGACCGCCAAGGGCATCTAGGATCTGCAATGTCGAACTGCACTTCCTGACACCGGAGAGGGTCAAGCACTGGGCACCAAATCACAGTTGCCGAAGCGAGCTCCCCTATCTGCCGGCGGAAGCTTGAGAACCCTGTAAAGCATGTCCTTGGCTTCCTTCTGCTGCTCCTGGCATCTGCAACACTCGAGGTCGAAGGCTTACGCGGCAGGTCGCTTGTTGACTGAGACTACGACCAAGAGACCCCAAAATCGAGAGCCACCCCTCAGCCCAAAACCATGAACCGTCACCACCTGAAAGAAAAAAGCTGAACACCTGAAAAAAAAAAACACACACACACAGACAAAACAAAACAAAAAGCTGAACCCCTGACACCCGTGATATTCGAAGATCGAAGATGGAGAGGCCTTTGCCCGCCGAGCGGACACCATGAAGTCGTCGACCTGGTCGGAGTCCTCTCGCCGCCGTTCGAAAAAGTGTGTATGTATATATATATATATACATACACACACACACACTTATTCATGTATTGACGTATCTACGCATGTATACTACATATATATATATATATGTGTGTGTGTGTATGTATATATATATATACATACAGGTATTTGTGTGTGTATATATATATATAACACAGGCTGCTCATCTAGGTCATATAACATGATCTCTGCTTCTGACTTAACCGAATACTTCTTAGACAAGTGCTACCGTGCTCTCTAGGAACCGCTTACCATTGCGAGGTCGGCTTCGGGTAGAGACTGGGCTCCAGGACTCATCTTTGCTTGCAGAGTCGGAAACGGCAGGCATTAGGGCTTACTTAGGTTTAGGCTTAGGGTTTAGGGTTTAGATTTAGGCTTAGGGTTTAGGGTTTAGGCTGTAGGGTTGACGGCGTAGGCTGTAGGGCTTAGGGCTTAGGGTTTCGGGGTTCGGATTCAAGGCTTCAGGCTTTGGGACGTCCTGTTGCAGTAGCCTGCGAAGATCGATGCGCGAGGCTGTCGGAGGTACAGGAACCCTATGCACCCCTAAGAAGCCTCTACGGTACCCTTCATTGTGGCACCTTTGATACCCTTTATCGTAACCCTTCGAGTACCTCCCATGAAAACCGTTGTACTGTAGCAGCCTTTTTGGTAACCCGCAGCCCTTTTGGTAACCCTTACAACAGCCCCTATGGTAACCCTTATAGCAGTCCTTACAGTAACCCTTATAGGAGATCTGGTCTCCTCGTCGCTTTCGCCGGAGAAGCGCATCTTTGCCAGCCTGGGAGCTGTGAGGGTAGGGTCGGAGCTCTGGGGCTTAGGGGGTAGGGCTTGGGGTTTAGGGTGTAAGTGTGTTAGGGTTTAGGGCGCTTAGGGTTTGGGGTTAAAGGTGCTAGGGGTTTAGGCTTCAGGTTGTAAAGGTATGAGGGTGTTAGGGTTAAGGGTTTAGGGATGAGGGTTTTGAGCAGCGGCCGAAGAGCCGAAAGACCATCTTCATGAACAGTAATTGAATCTTTCGGGATCTATCGTGCAGATGCCCGAAGCTTTTGGGACCTGACCTACTGTGCCTACTGGTAACGGGCCTTTCTCAGTGGATCCACTAGTGCGACAACGGCTTCCGACACTCCAAACTCACTGGGCTGCTAGAGGCGCGAGTTTTGCAGCTCGCCCCAAGCATGAGCACTACAGTGGCCCACTACAGGGGCCTACGTTTGCGGTTTAGGGTTTAGGGTTTAGGGTTTAGGATTTAGGAAGCCATAGAACGAAGTCAAGGAGATGTCTTGTCGGAGTTGCCTGGATTTTGCCGTAGCCGCCACTTCCTCACGCTTCTTTCGGGCAAGGGCCATAAGCCGCAGCTTCTTCTCCTGGAAGCAAAGGCGATCGGGTGAAGCTTCTGTGAAAGTTTAAGGGTTTAGGATGTTGGCTTTTCAGGATGTCTTCCAGGTCAATGTCCCAGGCTCCAGAACAGTACCTTTGCCTCTGGACCGTAAGCAAGTTGTGTAGCCCTTCCCGTACGACTGTGTTGATCCACTACGTAAGGAAACAATGCCTGCAGAACGCCAAAGACAAACAAAATTGTGATGAGGGGTTGTATTTGACTCTATACCCCGAATCCTGACACGGGCGGACGTGTTTTCGATGATAGCCCTTGGACTTAGTAGCTGATGCCAAACATAGAACGAGAAGCTGAATCTTCGTGAGGCCAGTGCGAAATAATCAAGCTTGCTTGCATCCCGCGTGCCCAGAATAAAACCTAAAGTAGACACTTGCCAACGTTCAACAGGAGCTCTGCATAATATCACCAACACCCAAGACCCTACCCCACATCATCTTAACGGCGTTCCTCGTACGTCTCGTTTCCAGAAACAGCTTTGTCAACGTCCGAGTTCGCAGACTGCTTGCGCCTGATCGCAAACTCAACGTGAAGCATCAGAGGCAACCACAAAGGCTTCGCAAGGTTTCAAGTCGCATGTCCGAAACCCTAGCTTCAATTGGTGCCCAGGCGATCATCTCAAATCCAGACGTGATCCTCCTGGGTGAACCTTCGAAGTCGAGGTCTCAGGAGGCTAAGACACGTCCTCATCAATGTGGAATAGGGATTTTTGGCGTGCAGTATACTGTGAGTATATTGGGTCTCTAAAGGGAATATGTACCCTGTTCTATGGGAGCATGCAACGACCAAGCTGCCACCTGCCTCTCTTCTTCTTCCCTGCGCTTCCTGCATGCGCGGCTTGCAGTCGAGGCCCTAAACCCCAAGGCATGGAGACCAGGGTCGCCCACTGCGGGTTTCACGACCCTAAACCCCTACACCCAATGCCCTGAAGCCCTGAAGCCCTAAATCTCCTGGTGGACTTCTGCGAGGTTTAGGCTTTTTTGGGAGGAAGCTAACTAAAGAGCTACAGTGATGCGGACATGAAGCAAACAGTATCCTCTCCTTCTGGTTCCTGAGAAACCAGGAGGGGAGACGTCAGAATCTTCAAGTCTTCCAACGAATCCCCCAAAAAATGCTTGGTAACCCCTCCCCTGTCTTTCAGTCTTAGGGTTTAGGGAAGTGTAGGGCGTATGGTTCAAGAAAGGAGGGCCCAGCGTAAAAGTAGAGCAAAATTACCTAAACCGTAAACCCTAAACCCCAAACCCTAAACCCTAGCCTTTCAGGTCCCGTCCCCCTAAGCCAGAGGCCGGAGATCCAGGGCCCTCACAGAATCAAAGGAAACTACCGGTGGGGAGTTTAGGGTATATAGGGCTTCTAGAAGGCGTCTCTAAGGTATGTAGACCTTCTATAGGGGTCCTATAACAGTAACTACCCACCTGAAAATGTCCTAGACAGAAGCCGCTAAACCCCCCAAAGCCCGGGCTTCGAGCTGAAAAGAGCCAAAGAGAGAGGGCCAGGGAGCCCCTTGCTACTCCTCGGCCCTAAGCCCTAAGCCCTAAACCCTAAAGCCCTAAATCCTAAGTCCTAAGCCCTAAACCCCAAGCCCTAAACCCTAAACCCGAAGCCCTTAACCCTAAGCCCGGGGAGGCCTTTGCTGCTCCTCGATCTGCAGCCTCCGCTTCGTGGCTGCATCCTGGACCTGCTCTGCGCAAAGCACCAGGGGTCGGAAACGAAGAGAAATGGCGACTGTGCGCAAGCTTCCGGATTATGTCAGGCATGGGCCTTGAAGCCCAATTAACTACCAAACCCCCTAACCCCTTAAACCGAAAACCCTAAAGCCCTAAAAACTTGCAAAGAAACTCCTGTAGTACCCTCAAAATAAACAGGAGCCCACAAAAGAGCCTCGTCGTCCGTCTTCTCAGCCCTCTTGGGCTCAGCGGGCTCCACGGGGTCCCCTTGCCTGTCACGCGCGCGTCGCATTTTGAGGTTTTCGGGCTTAGGAATTTCGGGTTCAGGGCAAAGGATTAATAATTCTGAGGGTTTAAGTCAACTACAGTATAAGGATAAAGGAGGGTCGGGAGAGGAGCTGAGCATCTGCGTCAAGACCTGGATCCACCCCCCATCTGCGAAGTTCACCCAGAAGACCCCTGATTACCAAAGCCCTGTCCTTAAGCCGGTTGAAAACAAAGATCCCTATGATCATCCTCACGAAAGGAGATGTATTTATGAGGGGTCGTCTACATTCCGGCAAGCTTCTTCTAGGCATACGCAAGACATATCCAGATCTCACTCAGCCGTAACCCTGCGCCGAATCGGAGCTTTCTCACGATTGTTTTTAGGAATCATATTTAGTTTGCTGGTTGCTGCTCAGACTCCGGGGCTCTCTTCTAGGCCCCAAACCAAGGGAAAGACCTTAGCTCGAAACCTTGCTGTGCCAGACATCGAAGCATCGGTCCGGTCTGGAAAGCCCATGAAATCTCGACATCGATGGAGCCCCGTTTGAGCCTACTTAACAACCGCTTCACAAGTCTCCGCCAGCGAACCCTCATGAGCCACATCGCCAGAGCAACTGACATCCCTGAGCCCCTTGACCCCAACCTTGACCAAAAGCCGCAAACCCTCTGCGCCCCCCCCCCCCCTTCTTTTCTGGAGGCCCGCCTTTGTCTCTGAGCCGCTTCCACCTTCGAGGCCGGGCAGGGCTCCTACCGCGGGCCTAGCTGCAGCAGCATGGGACAGGGTAGGTAGAGTAATGCGCAAGGCAGCCATAATGAAACTTTCTTGAAAACACAAGTAAGGTTCTTACATAACTCCGCTCACTAAATCCCCGCATTCGTTTGAAGTAGAACCCTTTCAAATTTAAAAACAAACCTTTCTTTGGGAAAGCTCAGTGTGGACTCCTGTGTCCCAACCCCAACCGCCGAAATCGCTGTGGGGCTCCAAAATCTCACCGAGAACTATGTCAAAAAGTCCTCCACAAAAACCCAAAACACTCAAATCCTAATCCCCAAGCACATAATCCTAAATTGTCTATTCGGTCCTAAACCCCAGACCCCAAAACCCTGAACCCCAAAACACTAAAAGCCAAACCCCCTAAAAGCACTCCAAATGCATAACCCTAAAACCCTGAACCTGAAAGACTCTGAAAGAATCAAAGCTTGGAAGCCTCTGTACAGAGCCCTTCTTCGAAAGCAAAAAACGCACAAAGAACCCTTAAAGGAACCGTCTTAAAACCCTAAACCCTAAGCCCCCCTTTTAACGGAACCCTCTAAGGAACCCGTTAAACCCTAAACCCCCAACCCCCCTTTACAGGAACCCTCTAAGGAACCCGAACCCTTAACGGAACTAACCCTAAACCCTAAAACCCCAAACCCTAAACCCTGAACCCTGAACCGCTAAACCCTAAACCCTAAACCCTAAACCGCTAAACCCTAAACCCTAAACCCTGAACCCCTAAACCCTAAACCCCAAACCCTGAACCCTAAACCGCCCTTATCGCCTCGGCCCGCCAGGAGTAGCCCTGCTTCCGTGAGAGGAGTCGCTCCCGGCGACGGGCCTGCCAAAAGTGGCGGTTTCGGTTTCCTTTTTGGCGGGATCCATACATAGTACAGATTTAAACGCCTTCATATTCGAGTCGAGTTTCTTTGACGGTGTTTTGAAGGGGGAGGGCTTGCGATGAAGCGTTTGGGGCTTAAATTTGTTTAAGGTAGCGTCGACAATACATAAGCGATCCATAAGGATTGCTGCAATGGTTCCATAATATAGTTTCTTAAAGCTTTCCGGGCATGTGGCTTAGCCTTTGGGCATAGGTGTCCAAGGCTGCGGGCTTTGGGTTCGCGGTTTGGGGCTTCCAAGACTTTCAAATCCTTTGGCGGGGGCTCAGGGCATGCAGGTGTTTTGGAAGCCCTTCGGCTTTGGAGAGGCTTCGAGCCTTCAAAGGGCCTAGTCCGTGCTTTTACGGGTCCTTGCGGGCCGATGAGATTAAGAGCTCTGCGGCTTTAAACCGGTTTCGAAAGTGCTTCTGGTGTCTTGCGGCTCTCCGGGCTGTAAACATCGTAAGACGTTGAAAGGCTTTAGGGTTTGTGAGGGTTGTTAATAGATCTCGGCCCGAGCTCAGCTTGCTGTCCTCCCATTGAGTTTCACAGCCTGCGATGCTCAATCGCACAGCCATGCGTTTCTCTGCCCCTCCACGTGGGAGACCGGGTGCGCCGAGCTGCTCCTTCCAGGGCATGCCTTTCGGCGACGAAGTAGAAAAGGGCCGGCGCATGACCACAACCTTCGATTTGGGATGTCAAGGGATGTTGTAGAGTTTTCCTCCAGACGGGAGATCTCCGGCCTCGTTTCTTTGCGCTCCCGACCACACAGATCAGGGCAGGGCTGCGTTCCACAAGCGCAGGTGTTCGGGGTGCGCTCAAGCATGAGAAGGTTTTGGCACTCTACTGGCAACTGACTGGAGCTGGACACGGCATGTCGTTTATGGCAGCACTGGACTCAGCACAGCAGGCATGGCGGTACGTGGAGCTGTTGTGACTTCGGTGAGTAAAGCTCATCACAGGCCACATTGTATAGTCGTGGCTCTTTGTATGTCTACGCCGTTTCTCTTGCCCTCACAGTGGGAGCGGTTTGTTGAGTAATGTGATGATCTGATCTCCTGCCAACGTGCAAATATCTCCGCACCAACCTCATTTTTGTCGTTACTCTCGCAGGATGGTGGATGAAGATTGCATAGGGCCGCCCCGCGGGTTCTTAATGCTTGCAGGCTCTGAAGGCCTTTTGGCTGAAGCTTGGCGATTTGGGACTAAGACTTTCGGGGTTTGCAGCTTTAAATCGCAGAGGTTCCGCGTTCTCGGTTGTAGAGTTTGCGCTGTGAAACATTTCAGAAGTTTACGAGGATTTTATTTGGATTTCATCAGGGTTGAAGATGTTGATTGTGAGCTGAAAAACCGAAGGGTTAGGTTTAGGGTTTAGGTCGTTTAGGTTTCAACCGTTCAGGACTTTCACATGTGGGGTCATGCGAAGCCTTGATTCATCAAGCTGACTACCTTTACGAGAACCAAAACAAAGCTCCAAGTATCAAAGCCTTGTTACGGTTCATTACTCCTTCGGGTCAAGAAATGCATTGGGGCGGAAAGTACACAACTTTTCACGGGCTGGTTCCCCTAGGACGAGGTGCTCAGGAGGTCTTCAAGGCTAAGCAAATGCATCGCCTTGAAGACACGTGTTCCCGCTGCCTCTCTCAAAGCCGGTTTAGGGTTTCGGCCAAACTTTTTGTACGAAGTGAAGCGGTGAACCTCGAGCCCAAACCACGAACACCTACAGAAGTTAGGTCTGCAATTCTTGTAGCCGCAGGATGGCACCCAAACACACACCCACCAGCATTCCTCATGAGCCCTGTAACCCTACAAAAACATGTAGACCCAATGAAGCCTTCGGCAACCCTCAAAATAAGCTTCAACCAGCACCCAAGAAGCCCTGAAAGACCCCCAACACAAACCCTAAACCCTAAACCCCAACCCCCTAAACCCCTAAACCCTGAACCCCCTAACCCTGAAAACCCAAGCCCCTAAACCCCTGAGCGCTAAACGCCACCAGTCGGATCGCCTCCTCTTCTTTCTTCTGCTCCGACCTGTGCGAGTTTGAAACCAGGCTAAGGAGTCGCAGATCCTATAGCCGGGTTTAGGGTTTAGGGTTTAGGGCCTGCAAGCGGGTTTGACAGTTTAGGGTTTAGGGTTCAGGGTTTTACGGTATCTATAAGGCTGAGGATTGTTTAAGGCTTCTAGAATGCGAGCTCAAGTCGAAAGCTTACACCGCGGCCAAAGGAGAACTGGACACCTCAACCCTCAGGATCAGCATACCACAAGCCCTGAAGCCTAAACCCTGAAGCCTAACGCCCTAAAGCCCTAAAGCCCTAAACCCTAAATCCCTAAACCCCAAATCCCTAAAATCCCTAAACCCCAAATCCCTAAAATCCCTAAACCCCTAAATCCCTCAACCCTAAACCCCAAATCCCTAAAAACCCTAAACCCCAAATCCCCCTAAATCCCTAAACCCCTAAACCCCAAATCCCTAAACCCTAAATCCCTTAAACCCCAAATCCCTAAATCCCCCTAAACCCCTAAACCCCAAATCCCTCATCCCTAAATCCCCAAACCACTCTCCACCTGGCTCGGGCCATCTCCTTGCGCTGGAGATCGGCGACTGCGCGCGGAGCTGGGGAGGGTTTGGGTGTGCTTGGAGGCTCGTGGGTAGTCATAAGTGGGGTGTATGGGGGTCCCTTTAAGGGCTCTTTTGAAGGGTCCCCATTAAAGGGTTCTAGAGGGTTTCTTTAGGGTTTAGGGTTTAGGGGTAGTTATAAGTGGGGTTACAAGTCCCCTAATATGGATTATAACTATAGTTACCCTACTTAGATTTCGGGTTTAGGGCTTTAGGGGTTAGGGGCTTAGGGTTTAGGATTTCGGGTTTAGGGTGTAGGGCTTAGCGTTTAGAATTGGGGCTTTAGGGTTTAGAATTTCGGGTTTAGGGTGTAGGGCTTAGGCTTTGGGGCTTTAGGGTTTAAGGCCATGTTCTGTTGAATAACCCCTTGGGTTCATATCGTCATGAAAAATGAACAATGATTCCTACGTGACACCCAGCAGATCACCTCGCCGCTGCTCTTCTCGAAGCCGCTCGGACTCCTCATGCCTGCCGAGCTCCGCTTCGGCTTCAGCACCGTACCCCGCAACTGAGGAACCGTCATTACTTGGGGGTTCATGGGTAGTTATAAGTGGGGTTATAAGTAGGGTAACTATAGTTATGACCCATATTAGGAGACTTGCAACCCCACTTGTAACTACCCATGAACCTCCAAGTATGGGGCTTCTGAATATGCGTCGAAGAGATGTTCTGCTTAAACGGGGCCTGGTAGGTTCGCCCGCCAAACTGAAAGCTCCGAACTGAACCGCCTGAAGCGTCCCAGAAAAAGCCTCTCCATCTCTTGTCGCTTCTGCTCGATGAACTCCTGCTGTTTTCGCTGCTCCTCTGCCTGGCCAGAAGAAGAAGACTAGCTGCACGAACAGTAGTACCAGCAGTATATAGCATCACGACTTGGGATGTTGCCAACAATAACCAGGATCAGACAACTAACATAGTACCCGTCGTCGTCACCATCCCGGCCATGTGCATCCTCTTCATTGACATAATCACCGCCAACAACAACATGGTTAGCATCAATATGCACGTCGAGCTCATCCTCACGATCATAACTTCATAGCCTTCAAAGGCTTTATAACCATCAGCAGCATCATAAATATCACCATCATCGTGATGCTCTCATTGACATCCCTAAACCCTAAACCCTAAACCCTAAACCCTAAATGGTCTCCCTGGTCACAAGCACTCCCAGCAGACGGGCCACGCCTGCTTCTCGGCATCTTGCTGGGCTAGCAATGCCTCACGGCCCAAGCGAGTGGCAACACGGCGTCACATGTACCGAATTTTTTAGGGTTTAGGGTTTAGGGGCTTAGGAGTTTAGGGGTTTAGAGGTTTAGGGGTTTAGAGGTTCAGGGGTTTAGGGGTTTAGGGGTTTAGGGGTTTAGGGTTAAGGGTTTAGGGTTTAGGGTTGGGCTTGGACTGGCTTGCGGCCCCGGAAGTCTGAAACATCTCTACTGAAGGTTCCTGCTGCAAGTATCCGTACGAAGATCACCCGCTGGTCCTCTCACAACTCCTACGCCATATGCCGTCGTATGCATATATGGTCCTACGGTACTACAAGTCAAGACAAAGAGGTCTCGCTGGACCTGGCCTGCAGAGGCTGGATGCTCCAGACAACGGCAACTGGTAACACGGAAGCCAAAGCGGTTCGGCTCGGGTCTGTTCGAACCAGGGTTGCGACACAGCACAAAAAGGCACCCGAGAAGAGTGTTACTTTGCATTCAGTTGCAGTCTCCAGGAATTCAATCCCCTGCCACAGCATTCCCAAAAACTCCTCTAAGATTCCTCTGAGGGGTGCTTTCATTTTTTCTTTCACACATGTTCCTTCAGGCATGCCTTGCAGGTTCTAGGATTTAGGGTTTTCAGTGTTCAGGGCTCAGGGTTTCATAGGCGACACCATTCATCTGCCCTTCTGTCGCCTTCGCTTGGAGTTTCTCTCGCTTCTTCTCCTCGATGGCATTGCGTCGCTCTTCCTCCTGCCTTAGCCCATCTTATGCGGAAGTCTGCTATTTCAAAAGCCGTTCTAAGGACCTTTGAATAAGGACCCCACCATCTAGGATCTTTGTTTGGGTTGGCTGAAACTCCCTAATAGTCTGAGATAGGTTGCTTCCTGACCGGTCATCAAATCCCACAAACCTTCAACACTCTAGTCGGATACCTGTGGGATTGATCCGCGAACCAAAATCGAACACTAAAAAACCCAAATCGCTCAACCTTCAACTCAAAGCGGTAGGTCCTACCGCATAGAAATGTATAGACGGGTGGAACTACAAAGGTGCTATGCCTTTCTATGGTTCCGAAATGCCTTGCGCACAGCTTTCGAGGAGCTTTCCCTCAACTATGGGGCTCTTATGAAACCTACTGGTG